CAAACAATTATCTCTTCTAGTTACGACCTTTGTACTCAGTTGCTGCTTGACATAAGTCGCTAAGCCTTGAAAAAGTTTGCACATGGAGGGTATGAAACAAAATATTTTTTTTAGGTTTTATATATACATTTGAATATCTAAAAAATCATAAATTACTACATCAGTACCATAGAATTCAACTATAATTTATTAAGCTTAGTAACTAAAATGTATTTTACTCTTAAAAAATATGAAATTTCGAGCAGACGAAAGACATACCCTACCTCGTTGAAATATTGGTTCAAAAGAAATGATTGGCGCTAGTCACATTAGAAAGGCTGAGAAAACCACTAGGGGAACATTCTGAGCTTCCAATTGGTTATTTATGTCATATATAGAAGTGTATACAAGGGAGCATTTATAAAAATGGAACGAGGTGGGCGGGGTGCTACTGTGTTTGATTTACTACATGAGCAATATCTTAGCAAATAGAAAAGATAAGAACTTCTTATTTTATACTCTAGCTTGTCAATATTTATAATTTGAGTTTGTAATTCGTACGAAACTGTAGACTTAGTATTTTGACTTCACAAACATCTAATCTGAACCAGTGCTGCATTCAACATACCAAGTGACACACAAAAATCAATGTTTTTCTGTGTTTTTTAAATATTTACTTTTAAATTAAGAAATTGAGTAATGTAAATTATAATCTACAGTTTGATACCAAACTTATTGACATAAATTCATGAAATTGTAGTTCAATAAAATTTTTAATGTGAGTCAACAAACGAGAGGACATGACTTTTCGTGGTCTCAAAGCATTAAACCTGTGGCTGCCACATAAACGTTTTTATGCAAATAGTGTAGTTGGAACACCCAGTAACCCCTACAATTGGATGAGCATTAGGTTCTTGCTAGTAAATGGCAAATTGATGAGTTACTAAAGAGCACGGGCTCTGCACGACCCCAGGTCTATCCATGACCTATGGTAGCCCGAGCAGTATACCTTGCATCAAATAGAAGCTCACGATTATCCTATGGATCACTATTTTCACGAGTTGTTGCTTGTTGTCTAACTTGCCAGCAAAATAGCTCAGGCTGGTGGACATCATCCACCAGCATCACTCTAAGTCTCTCTTAGGTGCCCGTGCTCAGAGCTGGGGGTGGGCTACTCTGATCGCTAAAGGCCTAGGAGTCCTGTAGAAACTACCTCCATTCAGTATCTGATTCACCTTACTTGAAGCCATTACAATAACCCTCAAACACAGCATGCCTTCTGTGCTCTGAGATCAACACTCTCAGGGAGAGAGAACTTTATCAATAGTTTTCTGAGTGCAGCAGATTCTATCACCTCTTTTTGAGTCTGCAGCCTCAACAAGAATGATGCCACGAACCTTTGCAGCATTGACGAAAGTTCAACATTCAGGAGAGGACTTCTAGGAGACCCGACTACTGTTCTCCCTGGTTAAAGCCCTTGGATTGTGAAAAATACAATATCCTGAAGAATTCAATCTTTTAAAACTTAATAGCACAAGACATCAAGAAGATAGCAGTGGAATACACTCTCCAGAGATGCCAAGGTTTGTTAGTTGTCAACAGCATTTTTTTTGTAAGTGTATCTAAAGTAATTTTATGACCAAATTAAGAATGTGCAACATAGTTGAGCTTATTTATGGTGACTAGATTTTTTTTAATGAACCAAATTGGCGCATTGTGATGCATTTTAGAGGATTAAAGTGACAGTGACTCAAAAGTTTAATATAATTGAATGAAAAACATAAAAATATACATTGCAATACAAAATGGCATTAGTGCACAAAAATAAATCTTGAAAACTTACAAACAGATAATAACACTTAACAATACGCGCATAACAAAGGACCATTTGGCCCTTTAAGGCTTCCTTGCACACCCACTCTTAGGAATAGTAAAAATTTCTTATCAATATTAATTTTTCAGGAAATCATCGATTCTCCTCTTAAAATTCTGATCTCTACTGCTGCTGACGGCAACTCATTCCACGGGTTATTCACCTTATTAGAAACATGAAACTGTCTTAATCTGAAACTTAGCCAATCTTTTCGAAATCTTGAGGGGACTGTTGCCGATTACCCAGTACCGGATTAACTAACTAGCAAAAGTAGCATATGCTACGGGTACCGCATTTTCAAGGACCCAGCGCTAATTGCATGCAAGCTATCAATTCCGATTCAATGATTCTACACTTGCTCTATTACTATAGTACTATATTGCCTTCAACGTTTATGAAAAAGCGATTTTAACCAATTATCACCTTTCTTTCGGAGATTTCTCACGTGACCTATGACAATTTTTGGTTTTTGCCATGATATTATGGTACACTATGTCACATGATGTAAACGACAGCGACCTTTTGTCATTGTTCACTCTGTTAATACCGCTACTTAGATTTTGTAATATAAGCTGTTGATATGGTCTTGGCTTGCCGCTTGCCAAATGATACCTTTTCATTTTCTGAAGTTTTTAAATGCATATTTCATTGAAATTTATTTCCATTGCAGGTAGCAATGAGCAGTAGAGCCGGAGATATTGGACGTCATTATGCTTCTGGAATGCAAAACGTAAAGTGAAGGAAGAAAAAGAAAGAAGAGACCAACTTGTGATATCAAAAACACGTAAGTTGACAGAATATTTTGATGTTCAATGTGGTGGTGCTATAACAGCTGAAGCTGGAAATACAGGAACAACTAGTACTAGTGCAGCAGAAGGCATCCAGCAACAGCCAGCATCTATTGAATGCGAAAGAACAAGAGAAAAGAACAAGCACTCTAATGATATTGGTGAATGGTTAAACATTCTAGATGATTGTGATCGTGAATATTGGATAGCCAAGGGAAGTAATGAATGGCAACATGCTAATAGTGACTTCTCTTCATCCATGCGATTGTATGACAATGAAAAGAAACCTCGGCACTGTCAGAAGTTTTATTTCACACATGTTCATAAACCTACAAACAAGCAACATGCAAGAAATTGGTTATGCTATTCAGAAAGCAAAGGAAACCTATTCTGTTTCCCATGCAAGGTTATGACTTCAGGATGTTCATTAAAGTTTACTGAAGAGGGGTTTAATGATTGGAAAAATGCAAGCTATCTATTACTTCGATATGAAGAAAGTTCCTCACACCGACAGGCTTTAATTTCATTGTTGATGAGCAAAAACAAAGATTTACGTGCGGATTCCCAACTTGTGAAAGAAATGGAGACTTAACAAAAGTATTGGCGCACACTTCTAGAACGAATAATTGAAGTATTGGATGACGTTTCAAATAACAATGATCAGAAGGCAAAGTGTCGACAACAGGCTCGTGGACTACTTTTAACCATGATGAAGTTGGAAACAAAAATAATGGTCATATTGTGGGATCAAGTATTAAAGCGTTTTCAAATTACCAGTGCTTCTTTGCAATCTTCTGGCCAAGACTTGAACACAGCTTGTGCACTCTATGAATCCTTGCATGGATATATTCAAGCTATGCGGTCTACTTTTTCAGACATTGAGTAAAAAGCCAAGGATCTGACTGAGTGTGAAAATTGTGAACAACAAACTCGAAGAGAACACAAGCGAAATCGCGAGTATGATGATTTCAGTGGTTCCAGCACTCTTAATCCACTTGTTGAATCTCAAACGCCTTCTCATAAGTTTAACAGCCGAACATTTCTTGCCATTTTTGATAGCTTGCTTTCTGCCGTGTCAAAACACCAGAAAGCTTATCACAAGTTGAATGGTGTATTTGGATTCCTTCGTCAATTACAGTCGTTTACACCTGAAGAGATTGTAAAGAGATAATCAAATCTTATCAAATCATATCCGGAAGATCTAGAAGATAGTATTGGTGAAGAATTTGTGCAGTTTGCTGAACTTCATAAAACTGATCTTGCTTCTCATATTAGCGCCAAACAAGACCTTGTAGAATTTTACCGTACTGACAATTCTTTGGAGTCTTGTTTTCCAAATGTAGAAATTGCCTTGCGCATATATTTGTCACTCATGGTTACCAACTGCAGTGGAGAACGCTCATTTTCAAAACTGAAAAGGATTAAAAATGAACTAAGGAGCACCATGGATCAAAACAGGTCGAACAATCTCACTCTAATGAGCGTTGAACATGAACTTCTGCATGAAATACACATTTCCAGTGTCATCAACAAATTTTCTCATGCTACATCCAGAAAATGTCACTTTAAAATTGTAGTTTTGTTACTTTTGACATTTGAAATTGATAAATACATGTAAGTAATACTATTACTGAAATGTCAGACATATTTATCGTATTATCTGGCTGTATAGCAAATGAAAAAATTTAATTACTTTACTATGCAAGTAAAAAAAGTTATGTGTATTTTTTTAATTTAGGGCCCCTTTATATCATATGCTACAGGCCCAGCACTAGCTTAATCCGGCTCTGCGATTGCCAAATATCTGCATTCAGAATATCACAACAAGGTTAGTTGCATTGTGTTTTTCTTTTTCTTGCTTGTTTGTTTGTTGTTTAGTGCAAAGCTACATAATGGGCTATCTTTTCTGTGGCCACCGCGGGTATTGAACATTTTTGCATTAAAATATTACTGCAATTTGCTAATATTTATTTATAAATTTAAACAAGCTGTATAATATAACTTCGATAGATAAATGCTCTTATGATAAAAGTTAATAGTGATTATTTATTAGTTTGTTTTAAAGCAAAGACACATTGGCCCATCTGTTGTGTTAACTGCGGGGAATCGAACTATTGATTTTAGCGTTGTAAGTGGTGGCCCCCAGTGGTAGAGCGGTGTGTTTGCGGAGTTACAACGCTAGAAACCGGGTTTCGATATCCATACTGGGAAGAGCACAGATAGCCCATGGTGCTGCTTTGTGCTTAACTTCAAACAAACAGTAAGTGGTGAACTTCTTAAAGAAAAAAGAGTGTGTGTGTGTGTGTTAAGAATGTGTAACGGACTGCATTTTTGAGTTTATAAGAGTTACGCCCCTGCCTGTAACATAAAAATGTGGAGACCACCGTAACCGAAACGTCGAGCCAATAGAAAATATAATATCTTAATAAATAAACATATATAATACTTTGATGAATTTTAAGCACAACTGTTTTCTTGTCCAGAAAAAATGCCAAAAAATTGTATTTATTTTACAGTTGCTTTGACACCTGGTGATTTATATGTCATTACTACCTTCTGTTAGTTCTGTGGTAAGCTTGACATTGCTGTGATGTTACGCAAGGAAGGAAGTGAAACTAATGGTCTTTAATTTTAAATTATATATGTTATAACGTTGCACTTCAGCCTAATATTGGTAATTTCTCTTTAAAGTCATTTCAAAGAACAACTTCAGTAGGTATATTTATGTACATATATATATATATATATGTATATGTGTGTGTGTAATTATTATTATTAGTAGTAATATTATGTATATATATATATATATATGTCTCATACTCATAGTACTTGTGTGTGTGTGTGTGTGTGTGTAATTATTATTATAATATGAGAATATACTATCTAACAGTAATACTGAATTTTCTAATTATTGCATTAGTTTCTGTAGGACAATGTAGTTACATAGTGTCATTTGTTATACACAGGTGCGATGATACAATTAATAAATCAGTTACATTTATGTATGGTTATTATGTTTCAACTTCAGCCAAGAAAATCAAAGTACTTCGCCAAACATATACTATGGACGTTAAGCTTTAGTTTAGGCTATATTATTATATGTCAAGTAAATTGAAACAAACAAACTAACAAAAAACAATCATTAAATGTATTTTGGGTTGCTGTTACTGTTGGTATTACTGCATGGTTCATAAGTATTGAATGATTTTAAGGAACAATTTGTACTTGCTATTCATAATCATAATATCTTGCACTTGAATTTTAGTGTATCTTCTAGCTTCCAAAGCACAGTGTTTATCAGGCATACATGATACATTATAGTTATACTAGTTGTAGTTTGGTTGTTTTGAATTTTCTGCAAAGCTACATGAGGGCTATCTGCACTAGCTGTCCCTAATTTAGCAGTGAAAGATTAGAGGGAAGGCAGCTAGTCATCATCATCCACCTCCAACTCTTGGGCTACTCTTTTATCAACGAATAGTGGGATTGACCATCACATTATAATGCCCCCACACCTAAAAGGGTGAGCATGTTTGGTGGGACAGGGATTCAAACTCGTGACCCTCAGATTGAGACTCAAGTGCCCTAACCACCTAGCCATGCCGGGCCACTAGTTATAGAGCAAACCATGGATATCAATATTTCTCATAAAAATTGATATATTCATGGTCATACCTTGAAGATTTAGTGTCAGGTATTTGATATGAGATCTATATATGCAAGTAATTACTTTTAAATTATTTTTTGCTTGGACATTTCATTTATATGTCTGAAATAGAGAATTTCCTAGACAGTATTTGTATTATAAGTCTAAGAAGCCATTTGGTAGATCTTTCTTTTATTTTAAGCCAGGGGAATTAAATTGAAGTTCACTACCAAGCCAGAAATTTTTACTCTATTTAGAATTTTACTTCAACAGTGGTAAGTTGTTAATGTTACTGGCATGTAGTTTTAGTGAAGCAACACTGGTGTATCTAGGATTTTGTCTAAGTGTTTTTGACAGGGCTGTTTTCAAGGTATCTTGAGAACTGCAAGTTTGGTAGGAGATAAGTATGGATTCCCCCACTTTTTCCAAAATTCTATGGGAAATTATGGAATTGATTTGAAGAATATGATATTAATCCCATAGTAGTAAGTAAAAATATTAAAAGTAGATAAAGCATCAGGGACATGCAAGGTTTTCCTCAATACTTTAATGGAGGTCAGAGTTCAGATATATGAGCCTCTTTGTTGTATTGTTGGTAGGTCAATAGCTAGTGAGCACATGCTTGAGCATTGAAGAACTGTTAATGTTACCACTATTTTTAGAGCAGGAGATAAGAATTGACCAGGAAATTATAGGTAAATTAATCTTACTTCTGTAGTGAGAAAAATTATTTAGAGTCTATAAAAGAAGCTTTGTAAAATTACACAATAGAGCATGAATGTTTAAATCAAACTGTGTGTAAAAAGTTAGTAGTGATTTGTTGCTTGTTTAATTTCAGCTTCGTTTGAAGAATCAGAAGTCTCTCCTTCACCCATAGCATAGTCCTATTTTCAGCTTTATTGATTATTTGGAATATAGTGGGGCATGGGACCATATCACATTTGCCTAGTTTGAACAGTAAGTTTTTTAATGAAGCAGAAAGGTGCATTCTGGTACATTTTAGAGGGTTAAAGTGACACAGTATGAAGACCCAAAATATAGTTGATTTAAAAATAAATAGAAAATATAAATTGTGATATAAAGTGCCATTAGTACCGACGATTAGAGGATTTTTTAAAATAGTTTTCCTTTTTAAAATCAGTTAGTGAAATATGATATAAAATAGAGTCCACATGCCTTACTAATTTGCTACCTTTTTTATAAGAATATAACTTGTTATCTACACCAGTGTTTCTCAACCTTTGCACTTCAAGGCCCACTTAGTTATTGGGCACAATAGTAAAGTCCTACTTATTCAGTTGATAACTCATTAGTTTAGGACAGTTATGGACCACCTGGCCTAGCCATGGCAGCCCATAACTGTGCATCTCACAGACCATTAGTAGGCTATAGTAGACAACGGAAAGGATATTAGCTTGCCATACTCAGACTTTCAAAAAGCTATTAATAAGGTGCTGTACAGGAGATTAAGATTAAGGGGTTAAAGAAAGACTAATTGGATGGTAGGGTTGGTGAGCGAGAGAAAGGAACAAAGTTTCTGTTAATGGACTCCAGTCAACCTGGATGTTTGTTGTAAACTAACATGACCTATGGATAACAATGCATCATGTGGTCTTTCCATGCTCTCCTTGCATGTCAAATCTTGGGAAGTGTAAAACTTTAAACCCACTCTTTATTTTTCAGGAAATTGTTAATTCCCCTATCAAGCTACTATGAAGTGTTGACCTCCATATTTGCTTATGGCAACTCATTTCATAAGCTAATCACCCTGTTAGTAAAATAACTATCTTTAGCTTGTTGGAAAAATAAAACTGTATTTTGCTTGTTGGAAAAAATAAAACTGTCTTTAGCTTGTTGAAAAAAAAAAATGATTCTAGTGGTTGTTCAAACAGTGAATAGGTGACATCAATGGACTGGATGGCTTTCTGTTGCCTTTCTTTTTACATTTTTCAACTCATTATTAAGTTCTGAAATTTTAGTAATATACATGTATTTGCAAAATTGAACAGAGTAAGAAATATTATGGCATTGGATTTTAAATTTAAGTAAAAAGATACTGCTATCTTAGATATTCCAAAGATGTAGCTAAACTCACCATGATATAAAATATTTTTTTAAATAATAACAGCTATATTTAGTCTGGAGCAATTAATATTTGTTGTATGTTGTTTTACATGAAGCAGTTGTTTGTTTTTATGACACTAAAATGTAGAAATACATTTACTGTGTGTGTCTTTAAGTAATAAAGACAAGTTTATATTCAGTAATATGTGGTGTGCATGAGTAATTTCATGTCTAAGCTAACTCTAATGTAAGGTTTGTTGAACTACTACACTAATATTATTGATATGTTTAATAACTTAAAAAAGTTGTTTTATGGTATGATTGAGATCATTAAAAGTCATTACAAAACTACAAACTGGTGAATGAACTTTAAAGCTTGTTTACCCAAGCAAAACTTATTTCAGTATACATAGAGTAATTAAATAATTTATGATAAACTGAAAATGCATCTAGTGAGACAAAATGTATACATTTAATAGTAAAGAAAAAAATCTTGAATCTTGCCCATTTTAGTTACTTTATATACCTATAATCAAACTCCCACTACATTTAGTTAGAAATAAATGCGACTGAATGTAATTGTTTTGTGTGTGTGAGAGATAAAAGTGCATTTTCATTGAAGACACTGTGGTTATCCAAATAATGTCACTATGTAATTTCCAAAAATACTTCTTTATTAAATGAATACTTGTTACAGATATAATCCATATTTGCTGAAGTGTGTAATTAAATATCATCTAGAAAATTTGGTTCAAATATATGGTATGATAAGTATGGTAAGTGATCTAGTCCAAGTTCTGTTTATTTGAGTGTCTTAATTTACATGATTTGTAATAAATACATTTTATATAAATGTTTATCATTAGCTTTATAGTAAACTTATATGAAACTCCTTATTCAACTTGAAATCAGTGCTATGTACTGATGTCACACATTTTAAAGTAACAAGAAATGTCTATTTGAGAAATTATGACAAAAGCCTGAAGTTATTCTTAAGTATATGAACTGCTTTCTTCTCAACTGTACTGTACGGTTTTAAAATGCAAAATTGTGAATATTAAGGAAACTTTGAAAAAGTATGTATAAATAATGCTATCAAATAAGTTCAGCTTTATTACCTTCATCACTGATGGTGGATGGAGGTTATGTTTCTACCCCTGTATGTGTCTTTCTCAGCAAGATTTCCCCAAAACAGCTCAATGGATTTGGACGAAAATTGGTATACATTTGGACTATGACCTGACTTAGGAGTGTTTAGTTTTTGGAGTTTAGTTTAGGTCACAGCAAGGTTATTAAAAAAAAATCCCTATCTGTTAACATGGGGACTTATTTTTCACACTATTTTTGCCCTATAACTCAGTCAAAAGTTATTGGTTTTTGATTGAACTTAGTGGACATATGTAGAATATTATTCCTCATTGTTCTACCAAAAATGGTCTGTGTCTGAAAACGACAAACATATGGACACATTTTTGTATTCTTTGAGAGACAAATATGATAAATGCTGTCGGGCAAAAGTATGTGCTCTACTTAGTGCCCTTCTTGTTATTAATTTTATTGGAATCCAAACCAATTTAGAGAATATTACTTTTTTCTTACGTAATTTGTCATCTTATTAATAACTTCTGATCAAAAGTAATCCCTGTTAATCAGAATTGTAAAATAATTTATGAATTAGCGATGCTGATTCAATATATAGTCTGAACTGACTATAATTGAGTGGAAGTGTGTAATGTTATGATTCAGTATATCAGAAATAAGACAATTTAAGGATAATAAAGGGTCTGATGGTCCATCTAGGCTATTAATTCCCTAAATTAAACTTATCAAACAAGCCCTTATCTTTCAAAAATATTTATCAAACCTTCCATTAAAACTTCCATAAGTTTACTGAATCCTTTACATCTGAATGCAATCCATTTCAAAGGCCAACTACCCTTTACAAAAATTAGACTGTTTTAGCCGGAGATGATACGTTACCAAAATTTATATTTGTGTTCCCAAGTCTTACCATTCCCATCATTAGGTACAAAATGAAGATGATGTATCAACACTATGACTTTTCTTAACAACTTTAAACACCTTAATTAAATCACCTTACTCTTTTTTTTTTCAAAAGAATATTTCAGAGATCTTTATCTGATCTTGTATGACAACTTTTCCATTCCACATACCACTTCCTTAGGTAACATAGCATAATGTTTAGGGACAACATGGTACATATTGGTTCATCTCGGCTGTCCCATCCTCTAAACTAAAACTATTATAAAAAACAAACAAACAAAAAAAACTGAGAGCCAGCCCTTATCATTCATATACTCATCAAGCCTTCTCTTAAACTCACTTAAATTTACTGCCTCTACAACATCCGAAAGCAACCCATTCCAAAAGCCAAATACCCTGTTAGAAAAATAAAATTGTCTTAGCTGAAGATGACTCCTACCCTGCTAAAATTTATATTTGTGTCCCCTAGTCTTACTATTCTCACTGTTAAGTATGAAAAAAATTATAATGAATCAACACTCTTAATTCTCTTGACACTTTGAAACACCTCAATTATATCCCCTCCAACTCTTAAAGAGAGAAAACAATTTGAAGAGATTTCAACCTCTCCTTGTATGACAACCCCTCCATACCAAGCACCATTCCTATAATCCTTTCCAACAATTCAATGACCTTCCTAAGGTAAGGAACCCAAGACTGAACACACTATTCCAAATGTGGCTTAACCAGTGACCTATAACCTCTTTAGACTTGTATTCAATATTTCTGTAGATGGCTTAAGAGACTGATCAACAATTACACCAAGATCCCTTTCTTTCATGACACCGTTAAGGTTATTCCCATCCAAATTATACTTATAATTCAAATTACGATAACCCACATGATTATCTTGCATTTATTATAATTAAAACCCATCTGTCATTTATTTGCCCAACTTACTAAATGATCTAAAGACTGAACACAATATTCCAAATGTAGCCTGACCAGTAACTTTCACAATAAAATGATATCCTCTATGATGAGACATCCCAGATGGACAAAGAGGTCTCTTGTTGTCCATAAGATTTATGTTAAGATAAGAAGCCAAAGGTTAAACACAGTACTCCAATTGAGGCTTAACAAGTGACCTATACAAGAAATGATAACCTCTTGAGACTTGTATTCATTATTTTTGTGAATACAACCTAATATCCTATTTGCCACATCACTAGCAATAGTACATTGCTTGAATTGCTTAAGAGACTGAACAACCAGAACACCAAGATTTGTTTTTACTATGACACTGTTAAGGTTATTGCCATCAAAGTTATAATTTAAATCATGATAACCCACTTGCATTACCTTGCATTTATTACAATTAAAATCCATCCATTTATTCATCAAACTCATCAAATTATCTAAATCATTTAGTAAAGCAGCAGCATCCTTGCAGCCATTGACACCAATTACTTTATATCAACAACTTTTTGACCATTTCTTTATTTATGTCATTGATGCAAATCAAAAAGAGCAAAGGCCCTAACACAATCTCAAAGAATCTCACTCATGACATTAATATTTTTTTATAATTTAGTTATTTGAATGGGACAGTCTAAATGGACCAGTAGTTCACTTGTGGTCGTTACATTTTGTCACATTGACTGAACTCCATATATAACAACCCACTACTTTCTTCCATCCAGCTATATTTGTATCCAAAAATCTATCTTATTCTACACATACCTATAATAATTTTATAAAAAGTATTTTATGTGACACTTGTCAAATGCTTTCTGAAAATCCAGATATGTCAAATCCACCCACAACCTTACCCTAATTTACTTAAACAGGAACTTCTTCAAAGAATGTTTCAAGTTTTAGTAAGGCAAGATTTTCCCATAGTGAAATTATGTTGATTGTCCAACAAAATTTTAAATAAAGAAAACTAGCACCCATAGTAATTAAAGTGCATCAAATTATCAGTTTGGTATTTTCACTAATATGGTACATGTATTTTCAGTTTTTCAGTCATCTTTAACTAAAACTAACAGTGATAAATAAACACTCATTGTAAAAGATAAATTATTGGGATTGATAAAATAAGATAAATATTTAAAGCACTTAAAACACCATTTTCTTAGTTTACAGGAAAACTGTGTAAGCCTTGTATTTTATGTTCCCGGATTTTATTTTATTTAATGTTTTTGGCATCATTTGAAATGCATTCTAATTAATCTTAAAATCTTACCAATAGAGAAAAATTAACATTTTTGTTATTCAGTATTTTTTAATTTGATGTTAACTATTTTAGAATTGGAATGATGACATCAATTTTGGAAGCTTTTGTGCCTCTACTGGGTGTTTTAGGAAAACCAGATTCTTGTACTAGACCAGAAAACCTACAGTTGTTAGCTGATGATTTTAAACCACCGACTTCTTTATCATTGAAAGCAACTTCAGTTAGACAACAAAGAAATGATGCAGATGCAACTAAAACCACTATTATAAAACAAACAATTAGAAGTTCTGCAAATTATGTTGACAATGTCAAAAGTAAGAACAATGTGTTTAGTGGTCAACAGATTGTGCTGGACATACCTTCTTCACTTAGTCTGAAAGAAAAGCAAAAGTTGAAGAAAAAAATTGTGGATAATGGTGGTCAGTTGTCATACATTCTTACAAACAAGGTGAGTTGCTTTAGGTTAATTACTGTATGTCGTTTTAGAGGGATTATTTAATTTATGACTGAAAAAAATTTTCTGTCCCAAAACAACAGGAGAGTAAATAGTCATGATCATTGTTAGGACTTGTGACAATAAAATTAAAGTTATGTTTTATGATTCATTGTGTAAATATTTTAACAGTTATTTTGAACATCACATATTATTAAAGATCAATTTTTGTACCAAGTTTATAAGAAAGAGAAGAAAAGCCCTCATCAGCATGAAAACCTACAATGAAGTAGTGAATGTGAAATGTGTAGCATAGGAAAATATAATTACATTTTTTTGCAGTTTCTTAATTGATTAAAGTAGAGTTAATATAAAGTTTGCCTGGCTGTCAAAAGGGTAAGATGGGGATTCATATGATGTGTTTTCTTTATGGGCTTGCACTTCATAATACTATCACATGTTGTTCAGTTTGAAAAGGATCAGATTTTTTGCAACTTTTAATCATTGAATTTTAAGATAATAGGCTAGATTTTAGATTATGGGTATAATTTTCTTTTATTGTTACATTATACAAAACTTTAGTTGAGAGAACATGTTTTTTTTCTCTTTAGAGTAGTGTTCTTATCTAAATACAATATTTCAATTGAGAAAATGTCCACTTTTCTGTATTTAGAGTACTAGTGTTGTTATTTCATTGCAAAAATGTTTATTTTTTTCTATTTAAAATGATGTTATTATTTGGATTGAATATCCTATAGTAATTAAAATAATACTATGTTTTATCTGTTTAGAGTGATGTTATCGATATTCTAGAATAAAGATGAGAGGATAATTTCTATTTCTTCTCAGACAAAACCACACCTCTTCACACAGTTATGCTATCTTTCCCACACATCTGCCTTAGACATTTACATGTCTCTAACCTTTAGTGAACTTCCGCCTAATCTCTGGAGAATTATTGTGAATCGTGCAAAAGCCTTCCACCAATAATGTTTTTTTTTTTTCAATTTAATGAGATTTGCAATGTTTAAGGAACTTAATTCCCTTCATTATTTCTGCAAACTATGAACTAGCTAGTTCATGTAACATCTTTTAATACTTGTGTGAATGAACAATATCTTCACACAGGGTATGTATCAATTATGGCTTATGGAGGCACGTTAACTGAGGATATGATGCATAAGGCAGTGGGTTCCCTTATGCAACCAGGACCTTTAGTTCTATTCCATTCTTCAGGTGTTCCTTCCCCTTGTTTTGATGGGAGAATGAGGAGGAGGATGAATTTAATTGTTTATTTCCTCCTCCTTGTTATGCTTTAGGAACTTTTCTCCCTGTTGAACAGAACCTTCAAACTTTCTTCATTATCAAGACTTAATTTCACAGTTATGTATCATTCTTCTCTTTCCCCTGTGTGATATGATTCTTCTTGCTCCCTACTTCTTAATCCTAATCCTAACTACTTTTTATTTTACTTTTTCTAATATTAGCATTCAAGCTGATTTCTTCCTTCACCAACTATACCTCACCTTCCTTGTCTTTCTGTCTCTAATATCCTAGATTTCATTCATTCTGAATTCCCTTTCTTGATGTGTGAATTTGGAATCTCTCTCACCTGTTTGGCATCAGTTTTGCCTTCCAGTGCCCAGTACTTTCGTCTTTGCCTGATCCTTCTTACCATATTTCTTTATCTGTTCTCTCTACATCTCAAATCTGAGGCACTCCCTTATACCACAGAGGAGGGCTGCAGATAGTTCTCATTCCCTTGTCTTCACCACTGTGGCTGTTCCACTTTTTCTACCATTTCTCTGTTCACTTGGATCTTTGTTGCTAAAAATATTTGGATAGGGATACTCTCTTTTTTCCATGTTTGACTTCTTTCTTCCTTTCTATGAGATCTTTGCTGAGCTCCTTTTCTTTGCCCTAAAGATTTTGGGGGTATTTCTGATTTTTATTGAATTATGAGCTGAGACTACTCATCTTCAATCCTTACTTTTCTTTTTAGTTTCCACATTGTCCTAAACTTAGCCCTCCACTACTCTGCACTTTGAACTAGTCTCTTGTTTCCTGTCTTTCAATTCCCACTTCCCATCTTTCCTATTCTACCCATCTGACTTCTACCTGATGTCTGACTTGTCAAGCTTATCAGTGACAACTAAGTTAAGTCAGTTCTGTGGGTGCCTGTCATGGCATGTGCAACTGTGTCACAGAGGGATTACTTTACTTCCTATCCATGGAGTTTCTCTGAAATTCTCTTCCCTTTCCCCTCTCAGCCCTCATTCCTTTTCATTTACACCTCCATCCAATCCCATCTATCTTCAACATCTTGAGAAAGTGGTGTTTGTCAACACTTACAAATTTTTTCCACAAATTACATTCAGTATCTTGTTCACCAGGGAGTGTTTTTCAATTTCTTTCTCAGCTCTGCTCAGCCTTCTCCCATCTGTCATAGGCCATGGAACTACTAGTCACCAGAATTTGTGCCTATCCATCCTACTTATATTGCATGTGTGTTTTTTTTGCTTTTGGAGACCATGGCTTTACAGGTTCTACTTATCTCTTTGGGTTGTGCAAATATGTTCCTCCTCCAATGGTCCTTGCACAACTACTGGAACCACTTGTGGAAACCTTTAAACTCAGTGGTTCTCCTGTACTATCTACTTTTCCAGGATCTATATTGGTGAATGGACTGATCCAATATCACCATCAATGTTCCATTATCTTCACCCAAACTGGACCTGCCCCTCTTCACCAATGCTTCCTACTGTGGTTGGGGAGCATCTCTGAACAACAATTTCACATTGGTCTCAGGAACCCAAGATAAGTCCTTTCTACATATCAGTGCACTCGAACTTCTGGTAGTCATGGATCATTTCATTATGATCCATTCCAACAACTCTAAGGTTGTTTCCTATATCAACTGCCAAGGGGGTACCCAGTCCAGTCTTTTTGCTTTCAAACCTTTGACCTTCTTTATTGAGCCAATTCTGAACAGTTTCCTCTTATTGTCATGTACCAGGCACTATGAACCTGGTTGTGGACCTCTTATTTAGGCTGGACTATGTTCTGCCCATGGAATGGTCCTTTCACTTCCAACTTGGGTGGGCTCTCTCTTGGGGACTCCACTCATCTATGCCTTGCTACCCCTTTCAATTCCTCTGGGCATACCCTGTTCAGATGAGTTGAGGCAAATATGCACAAACAATCCATGCCTTCTTCTTGCAGCTAATGTCTGTTCAGTTGAGTCGAGGTGTTCACGCACCATACTACTCACTATGACATGACAACTGTGCTCTCCTCCTACAGCTGGTGTTGGTCTGAACATGCCCCATCATGTTACACGTATTGGCTCTCTTGTGTGCAAGTAGTCAGATGGCTATGTTCTTATTCCACCCATCCCTGCAACACATGTGGCTTGTTTGTCTCTTCTTCCCTGGCAAAGAGTGTACTCTGGAAGAGATGAGATGCAGTTTCCCATGGATGTGCCCTTGTGGAGCATCTGCCATCAGATGTCACACTTCATGGGCTTCTTTTGTGAGCTTTCTGAAAGGAATTAATTCAGATAAATCTTTGCACTGGCACCTCCACCACTTCAGTGTGGGATTCTAGCTTAACTATGCGCAGAGGTATGGTATCGTCTCGGAAATTTACATTTTACTTACCTGAAAATGTATTTCTGATAGATACTCACCTCTGCAAACACATTCCTACCAGTTCTCTCCACTTATGGTGCACCTTAGTATTCCTGGCCTTGTAAAAGAATGAATTTTCATGAGTGTAAATGCATATAGGGAGTTAGTACATAAGGAGTTGTGTCACCCTCCTATTGGTGGAGGGCTTTTGCTGCATAATGATGTCATCATGCAGTAATACAATTCACAAAAATTCTCATGAGATTAGGTGGAAGTTCACTAAAGAATAGTGTAATGCAAATCTCTGAAGCAGATGTGTGTGAAGGATTGCTTAACTGCACAGAGGTGAGTATCTACAAGAAATACATTTTCCTGTAAGAAAATTAACTCATCTTATTTGCAGATGAGAGTATATATTTTTTAGAGTGTTGATGTTATCATACTTAAGATCCCATACAAGAGAACTGTATTTTCATTTTAGAGTGTTGCTGTTTTTCATATCAAAAGCCTGACAAACATTTCCACCAATGCTTAAAAAGTAGTGCTACAATTGGAGGCATGGGTTTTCCTCTTCCACTATATTCAATTATAGCATACAAATCATATATTTGATGCAGAGGTACCTTTGTTATGCATGATATTTAATGTCACTTTTGTATAGCATTGGCTTAACATAATTTGTTTCTAACCTCTTTGCTCCTCTGAGACTTCATTCATGGCATTAAGGTTGTAAAATAACAAAGGCTACCAAATTTGGACTGTTTATCTGATTTCATAACCATTTATACTCAGTCTTTGGTTTGGGGTTTTACCCAAGTTTTTTACCAAATTTAATTTCCTCGCAATAAATTTTGATACAAAATAGACTGACAGCTGAGCCTTACTAATGTTATGATAAGAGCAGATGGGGATAATGCAAATAGATAAAAGATTCTATTGAGAGTATACTTTATTTTTTTCTGTTTGGAGTGATAATGTGTCCCACACTATCCTAAGTAAATTAATGCTTTATTTAGAGTAATATTGTTATCTATAATAATACCATAGTTGACAAAATGTTTTTGTGCTTAGAGTGACATTATTATTATACATATTCATGATCCTAGATGTGACTTGGATTTAATTTTTTTCTTGTTTAGAGTCATTTTGTTATTCATATACAAGACTCCAGTCAAAAGAATCAAGTCAGGGAAAGACTAAATAAAGCTTTGAAGTACAACATACCTGTTGTTACTGAGGATTTCATTGATGCATGTTTACAAGCCAACAGAGTAGTTGATCCACAGCCTTTCTTATTCACTAGGAAAGCTCAAGGAGAGGCATTTCACAGAGGAAAAATTACAGGTACTCTAAGTTTACTTAGAAAGTTTATTAAACAACTGTAATGCAAATAAAATTGGTCACTTAGGCATGAAGAATCTTAAGTTTGTTGTATGTATTTCCAGTAAGATATTTACACTAGTTTCCAGAAGTTCAACCTAAAATACAAATAATGACAAAATGATGCAAGATTTATTCACCAGATTTGGATTATTTGTCCATGTCTGTGTGATACAACTTATAACAAAACAAGTATAAATACAATTTAATGAGTGAGAAAAGCAAGAACCTCTGAAATGATATTCAGTTAGAAGTTATACACAACACACAATGTCTGCATATTTTTTATTAGATGATCTATGAGAGCAGAAGGCACAAGAGTCCATTGACATATCAGAGCAGTTTTCATATCATGGAGGGGTTATGGGGAGGCAACATGACTTCCTAGAGTACACCAAGCATGCTGTATGGAATGGATGTCAGGAGAACATTCTGACCAATTCATACAGGTGATGGTGTGGTCTTGCAGATAACACATGCTTTGTGTGGATGATCATTAGTATTTATTAAAAGGAAGTTATCTCCTCTTGAACCTGCATATTGTCTAATATAGAGATCAAGGATTTCATCCCTGTATCTCTGGCCAGTCAAAAATACCACCCTCAAAGAAATGCATGCCCATCTATGGAAATTTGAGCCTAGGCTGTCAAACCTCCACCACTATAGGAATATCTTATGATGTGCATGGGTTGTTTGCATATTTCACATTTCCTTCAGATGAGTCACACTGTAAACTGACTCCTGGCCCAAGTGTAAAAAAAACATGCCTCCACTGGTAGGTGTCAAGACCACTTCAGTTGTTCCTGTTTGTGTTTATGGATTAAGAGAATATACATCATTGGTCATCTTGCATAGAGCCATCTTTCATGTAACCTGTCACATAAGTTTATAAAAGCTGATACCAATCTTTCTGTTGCCATGCAGAGATCCAAAGACAGTTGGTTTGGTGTAGAAGATTTGTTTCATTGGGCTAAAAGTGAGATAACTGTTATGTGCTGGATTTATGACCCATGGTCAACCTTGTACTGGTCTTCAAGCAGTATCTCCATACAGCTTGCACTCATTTATTTAGCCATTTGGGTCTGTGACTGCTCAGCTTCAAGCTTACCAATAGCTCTCCATCTTAAGGAATATTTCAGACAATAATGGTTATACATTTTGTGTAAATGACTGTTACATGGCTGTCCTGCCAGAGTCAGAACTGAAATGAATGAGGGTCTGCATCCATGTGTCTTTCTAGAGATGCTAATTTACATATTTTGATGGGAACCTACTTTACATATTTCTTGTTGCACATTGTGGTCTGAATCTGGTGCTTCAGTCTTGCACCTTTGTGGACTTGTATGCATTTTTATATTAATTACTTGACTTTTGGAAGCCACTGATAGTATATATATTATGAGCAAGTCAATAATGCATATGCTATAGGACACATTATTAAAAAGACAGCATATTATCTGGTAGGCAATAGTGTATTTTTACATTTTATCAGTAAGCAACAATGTTTGTGCCACAGTAGAGTTAGAGAACAGTGTATGTTCTATATGACATATTATCTGTAAGACAACAACATATGTGCTTCATTACGTATCGACAGTAAGACAGCAGTGTTTGTACAGAAGTGCAAATTATCAACAGTGTATATATTACAGAGCATTATATCAGTAATTCAACAAAATTTATGGTACAGAATACACCATCTGTAATAGAATATTGCATATGTTTGTCACTTTCTCGGTAAGATAGCAGCATATGTGCTATAGTACATATTGCTAGTAAAACAACAATGTATGTATATTAGTATTAATTAAACCCAAAGTATGCTCTACCAGTATTACCAGTGTTGTATAACTAGTAAGATAATACTTCTTGTGTTACAGTACATATTAGGAACAGTATATGTGCCACAATGCACATTACAGTAAGTCATCTGTGTATGTGCTACAGGATGCACCACCTTTAAGGCAACAATGTGCAAGTTACTAAATTTCCCTGTAAAATATCAAATTATAGATAGAGATGTGTGATTATCTTGATTCAATTACATATATGCATTAATTACATCGATTAGTATCGTGTAAAATGACTGATTAATCAAAATTACAAGTAAATTGATTTAATGGCATGAAAATAACCAACTAATTGAAATTAATGTTACTAGTTATTACTTCCTTTGATTTTTTTCAACTGTCCAACTAATCAAAATATTGCCATTATGATTTCTCCTTATTATTTTTGATTAATTCAAGGTTGTTGAGCTTAATCAATTAGTGTTACAACTTGCAAAAATAATCAACTAATCAAAATTATTCTTTCCAGTTATTACTATTTTTGATTATTCCAACTATTTAAATTTCATGAGCCCAACAATTAACCAGTCAGTAAATCTAGCAACAGATAATGTTTGAGACTGATACCAAATATCTGGTCATTTGGCCAAACTACCAAATATATGTTCATTGAGTATTTAATATATTTATTTCTGCAAACAATTTTATTAGCTTCAAAGAACACTAGGACAAATATAAAAGTAAATTTGAAATTTTGGGAAACAAAATAAAAATAAATTACAGATTTGTGGAATACAATAACAATACTTTAACAAAGAATTATATAATAATTTAGATGAATACTCACACTGTAGTTAGATGTATAAAGTGTGTACAAGGGTCAGTAATAATTTTCTACATAAACAAAATAGTTTTATAAAATGTCTATTCCTGACTGGACATGTTCAATGCTTCTTTAAAATTTAACCTGTAGCATGCTTTACGAGGTGTTGTTTTGACATTAATCAGTTAACTAGACATGCACAGACCTTTCATTTTATTTCTTAGACTCTGTCTTAGTTGATGATTGTTACTATCAGTAGCATGAACAGTGATTCAGTGATAACCGTTGTCTGCTGTGTATTAAAAGTGGTTTCAAATGCAGAGAGCCTTGGTATTACTTTGTTGATTTTTAAGTGAAATGAGAACTGTGTAGCATATTAATTTTATGTGGTGGCACAAAGAAAGCAGCTTCTTCTTCTTCCCCAGTGTATATACTGAAAAGTAAGCGTGTTCAAGATTAGGATTAGTTACAAAACTTTCAAGGTATGCTGGATCTAACATTGAAGATTAAGGCATGGCCTCAAGTTCCAGGGTGCTTGCCAAACTTCAAACCATTCAGGAATGTCACCAAAAAACAAAACTGTAGGACATAAGCTATAATTATGTTAAAGAGTTAAACTATATAATCAGTGTGTAGCATCAACAACTGTTTTCAATCGCTATTGATGAAAGGTTTGTTTTTTGAAGATAAACCACAATAAGGTTATCAAGAAGAATGCCTAACAGATATATATATATATATATATGTTGCTTGGACTTCAAATATCAAAACCATTTACTTTATCAGATATCTAGTCAAGTTCAACAAACAACAGTTACAGTAGTTTCACAGTACAAGTGATTATTCTTTCTCCTTACACTACTGTTAAACTTTGCTTTAAAAACATCCTCTAACGTGACATCCCAAATTTGTTTCATAAGGTGACTGCTAATGGTTGGTATTTGGTATGGCTTTGTGTTATAAGGTAGTTGCTTAAAGCCATAAAACTGGTCTGTTTAACTTATGTGTATATGGGAGTGGCCCTTTCACTCGTGTTACAACTTTTACAGTATTAACTTAAAATTTTATCAAACAACTTTATTATCAGTGTATGTAAAGATATTTGGTATGAAAAAAATAGCTTATAACTCAAATGTTTATATTATTAATGTTTTAATCTCTTAATTTGAAAAAGATATATTTTATAACAAATTGTAAATCTGTAATGTAACATGTTTGAGCTCTATTTTCTCCACTTCAGATTTTACTAACTTCAAAAACAGGCTGTTGCAGTTGAAACCAATTAGGAGTACAAAGTTAACATAAATCCAAGCAATGATCTAAAACTTTCACCTCCTACTTCCTTTATTTTCTGTAATATAAATATATTTATCAAACCCACTAGAGAAGCCCCTCCGACTCTCTCAAATTGTCATGTTTGATTGCTAATCAATTTTACATGGCTGATGCACATGCTTACAACCAATAAAAGCAGAGATTTCCTATTCATAAAGGCTTATTAGTTACTTGATTTTTGCACCTATAGAACAACAGTTTCTGATAGATCTTTTTTTTTGTGTATGTGCCTGCTATCATGTTCCTGCTTCAATATGTAATGAAATTTTTTATCCTATTTATAGCTTACTTAGATATTCAGATAAATTGTAGTAGTTTTATAAATTCTATTCTAGCTACTGATATATATATATATTTGTTTTAAAATGTCACACAAATTCCTTTTTTGGACACCCAGGTTTGCAATACTCAATGAGGCTTATCTTCAGTTTTTACTCAAATACAAACAAACTGTAGGAAGCAGTAAATACTACAGATTCTTGTTTTTATGTATATACTTCCTTTATTGTAATATTTATTTATTTTTCCTAAGTAAAATAAAAAATTACATACTTATCAGCTTTGCCTAATGTAAAGTTTTTTTTTTATATGTATCATGAACCACGACAGTGGTTCAAAATAAGAACTGCCCAGGAAATTACACAAGTTCTAATAGAACATGTGGGCAAAAACCTTCTTAAAAAGCAGACTTGTTCTTGAAACAACACCCAAGACCTTCTATCTCAATTGCTAAGGCTGCTAAAATATTGATAATAGTAAAAAAGTTGATTTTTATGAGTTAGTCAAAATTCAATTCATCCATTTGTTCTTCATATTATTATTATTCATATTATTCTTGTTTCACAAGCCTACAGAAAAATTTGCTATGAATATTTTATTCAAACCTAAACAAATTTATTTAACTCGTTTGCAGATCATAGGGCTATTTTTATGTTCATGCTTGAAGGAGGAGAGATTTTATCAGTTTTTCATTGCTACTGGCCAAGTTTCTCTTCAAAACCATTCAAGCACAGAAG